GCAGTTTTGCCTTTTCCGGATGGTGACCTTTAACGAATCAATCTGGAATTACCTGATCAGCACTCATGAAGCGATCTGCATGATATAGCCCCACCCTTTCCCATAAGGGAAGGTGACTTTTTCTGAAACAGTCCACTCTTTTGTTAGAAACTGCCCCTCCCCCAGCCATCTTCTGTCTATGAAAGCCTTTTATTTTGTATAGCTCCTGGGAACTCCTTTCTGTTTGTTAGATGAGATGCTTCCCAATTCGTGGTTGTTAAATAAAGCCAGTTAGATCTTCAAATGTACTCAGTTGGATTTTTTTTTTTTTTAACAGTACAAAGGCAAAGCTATGCCAAAAGGGACAGTTGGAGAAGTGTCTCTCCCTCCCCACACTCTGTTCTACACTCTCATCCTTTCTGTCCTGTTCCTATTCACCCCTGAAGGGGCTCAGAACAAGCCTTTCCAAAATGTGCCCCTTTGGTTGTGGACTACTTAGAACTGAAGTCAATCAAGACCTGTGGGCTCAAGAGAAAGTTTTGACCTTCCTTTAACTACCTAGAAGAATCTACATTGCAGTTCTTTCCCAGAATAAGAGTTACTTCCAGAGATAGATTTTATTTGAGTGACCCATCTGTATGGCAGGGCAAACATCTAGTTATGAAAGATCTGCTTTTCTCATTGCCCCATGAATTGCCTTCCTTCCCTTTGAAGCCTGAGTTTCCACTCCACTCCTTTGCTCAGGATGGTGATGTGGGAAACAAAGGCAAAAGAAAAAATTAAATTTCCTTTCCTTATAACCTGCAGCCTATTGACAAATACTTGAGGCAGGCAGAGTACAACATTCCTCTAGGAAACTCCCAACTGTCTTAAAGTTGATGCTTTGCTAGAGGAAAAACAACCTTAGCTTGACAATAGCAAGTCTTCTTTAACATATGAAAGTCTTGGGGCACATGGGTGGCTCAGTCGTTAAGCGTCTGCCTTCGGCTCAGGTCATGATCCCAGGGTCCTGGGATTGAGCCCCACATTGGGGTCCCTGCTCGGCGGGAACCCTGCCTCTCCCTCTCCCACTCTCCCTGCTTGTGTTCCCTCTCTCGCTGTGTCTCTCTCTGTCAAAGAAATAAGTAAAATCTTTAAAAAAAAATATGAGGGGCGCCTGGGTGGCTCAGTTGGTTAAGCGACTGCCTTCGGCTCAGGTCATGATCCTGGAGTCCCGGGATCGAGTCCCGCATCGGGCTCCCTGCTCGGCAGGGAGTCTGCTTCGTCCTCTGACCCTATTCCCTCTCATGTGTTCTCTCTCAAATAAATAAATAAAATCTTAAAAAAAAAATATGAAAGTCTTTTTGGAAGCATCCCTTTTTCTTTACCTTCCCCAACTCCCAAGTATATAATCAGCCATTCCTCACAACCCAGTGCAGCAGCTCTTTCTGCCCATGGGTCCTGTTCCTGTACTTTAATAAAATCCCCTTTTTTGGACCAAAGATGTCCCAAGAATTCTTTCTTGGCTGTCAGCTCTGGACCCCAACACCACTCCAAAATGACATCAAGGGCATACATACCTCATTTTACCTTTCTGTCTTTGAACCTCTCATGTATGTGGGGTTCCCGTACATATGAAATTAAATTAGAGTTTATCCCATTAATCTGTGTCATGTCAATTTCATTCTTAGACCAGCCAGAAGAACTGTTGAAGGGTAAAGGAAAATTTTTCCTACCCAACACCCGGCTTAGGTAAACAATCTCCCTGGTTTTTGGTATTTGCAAAAGTAAGCAGGTATATGTATATTTGATTTCTTCTTTCCTATGTAAAAGGTATAAATGCTATACTCTTCTCTTTTTTAAAAAGATTTTATTTATTTATTTTTGAGAGAGTGAGCAGAGGGAGGAGCAGAGGGATAGGGACAAGCAAACTCCACTCTGAGCGCAGAGTCCCACGTGGGGCTCATCTCATGACCCTGAGGTCACAACCTGAGCTGTAACCAAGAGTCAGATGCTTAACTGACTGAACCACCCAGGGGCCCCTTGTCTTTATTTTTTGAAAAAAAAATTAACAATATACCCTAGAAACCACACCATGTCAGTTCACAGAGATCTTCCTCACTTTATTTCAGCTGTTCAGTCCTCCATTGTGTGGATGTACCATTCTTCATGTTTATATTTCTTATGTTTAAGTACCTCAGCAATTCCCAATATTTTGCAATTTTGAGCAATGCTGCGGGGAACAACCTTGTGCATATTTATTTTTGTATTGTTGGAGATATATCTTCAGGGTAAACTCCTAGAGAGGGGATTTTTTGGTCAAGAGGCTGTTGATTTCTGTGTTAATTTTATATCCTGCTGATGTAGGAAAGACGTTAGGTTCAAAGCCAATGGCCAATAAAGAATTCTTTAGACGTCTCTGTGCAAAAAGGTGGTTTTATTAAAGCAGGGGGACAGGACCCGTGGGCAGAAATAGCAGCACTGGGGTCATGAGGAGTGCCACATTATATGCTCTCAAGTTGGGAGGGGATTAGGCACAGCATAACCCTCCCAGGTATTTTGACAACAAGGTTTCCAAGATCCTGAGGGGTCTAGCTATTTTAAGGAAAAGTCATTTATTACTGTTTAGTAAAAACTCAGTCATGAGACTCTTGAGATGTTTATCGGTGGTTCACATGCTTGGGGATGATTACCAACATGTATCTTGTGGGGTAGAGATAAAGGAAGTTTCCAAAGTTATTTTTATATATTAAAGTAGACTTACAGGATCCTGGGGGTTGGGCTAAGATTGCCTTTGCCCTTAGCAAAGTATTAACATTGAGGCAGCTGAGTTCCTAGAGGAATGTTACTCTGTTTTAAGGACTTGTCAAAGGGCTGTAAGTAGTAAGGAAACTTACTTTTTCTTTTGCCTTTGTTTCCCACATCACTGCTACCTAACTCTATCAACACCATATAGCATATTCTATCATATACTATCAGCAGAGGACCTCCAAACCTACCTTCTCAAATTTAAATTCAGGCTACCCAAACTTAAAGGCTGAGCCTCATTTATCTGGATCCAAAGTGGAGTAAACTGTTGTGTTAGCTCACTCTGGGTGTACCAGTCAAAAGATTTAGAAAAGAGATAATCAGAGGCATAAAGAATTAGAAAATAATCTGTGTGCACGGGGCACCTGGGTGGCTCAGTCGTTAAGCGTCTGCCTTCGGCTCGGGTCGTGATCCCAGGGTGCTGGGATCGAGCCCCACATCGGGCTCCCTGCTCAGTGGGAAGCCTGTTTCTCCCTCTCCCACTCCCCCTGCTTGTGTTCCCTCACTCGCTGTGTCTCTCTCTGTCAAATAAATAAATAAAATCTTAAAAAAAAAAGAAAAGAATCTATGTGCAGATGATATGATAGGATATCACACCCTTCACAAACAATTACCAGGGAGAGGATATAATGTAGAGAAAATCCACTTACAACAGCAACAAAGATAAAATACTGAGCAGTGCATTCAACAAGGAACGTTCAAAATCTGTATGAGCAAATATTAAAATACTGAAAGACACAAAAGTAAATTTGGACAAGTGGAGAACCGTCTCTTGCTCTTGGAGAAGAGGACTCAATGTAATACATCTGTCCATTCTTCCCAAGTAAATGTATAAATCTAATGCAATTCCAATTAAAATACCAAAACATTTTTTTCTAGATCCTAAACGGATACTAAAATTCACACGGAGGAATAAACATGTAAGAATAGCTGGGAAAACCTCAAAAAGACAAGCTGAGCATTCCAGAAATAGGTGGGGTGGGGGTGCGCAAGGTGCTGCCACCTGCTGCCCAGAGCTGGTACCGCAGCCCTTCTGAGCAAAGCAAATCCTGTCCTATTTGTATTAAATTAGCTTTTGAACTCTGAGTATGAAGTCTAAAAGACAGCTTATTTTTTTTTTTGCCGTCCACAGCCTCCATCTCCTTTATCGGGGGCCTTCATTCGGTTTAGGATCTTTAGAGTTCTTCTGGGCTTCAGATTCCAAATTCCGTAGCTAGAGCTCAAGGGGGTAAGATGAGCTGAAAAGCCTTTGGCTTGGTCCAGCTTCTCAACGTGAGGTTTGAGGAAATGCAGGCTGGCAGGAGGATAGAGAACGAAAGGGGAGGAAACTGGGTCCTTGTTGCATCAGGCTTTTTACAGACAGTAATTTTTAAAATCCTTGCGGAATGGGTACCCTAAAAGTCCTGCTACAGATTATAAAACAGTGGCCTCAGGACATGATAGAAGATGTTTTTTCAAGGATGAAATGGTGACTTTCATACGAATATAAAATCAACGCATGTCAAGGATTTTATTTGGTGTATTAATTAATGAAGGAACCAGTAAGATGTAAAAACTGGTTTAAAGGAGAACCTGAGTACAGACACACATGGGAAACGCTAACATGAATTTGCTTGTATGTACAAAACAGGTCGCTGCCCCCAGGGGAATCGTCACTGGCATCTTCACTGTACAAGATTTATTTGCATCTCCATGGGCAAGAATTATTTTTATTACTATCAGTTTTCTGCAACCCAGAGAGTTGTCAAAGAGCTCAAAGACAAGGACAGGTGCAGATCCTTCTAGAATCAGATAAGCCCCGAAGGAAGGTTCCTCCAGACAATCTCTATGAAATTAAGTAAGGCCTTCAAGATTTCACAGCTGCTAAGTACAGATTTGCAATTCGAAACCAAATCTACATGTCTCCATAGGTTCAGACTTTTCTCTGCCAGGGTCAGGCGGTGAAGGGTGATATTCAGCTGAGATTTGCGGTATTGACTGGTCATCACCCCGTTTAGTTCAAATTCCTTGGTCTCAAGACTGGAGTCTTCCCTCCTTTGAACAGAGCCCGAAGCAACATTCCAAGGTCTCCAAAGCCTCAGTCAGTCATTTGGCGTCTTGAAAGTGTCTCCCCCTCGATGCCAGTGTTCCCTAGGGAGTCTGGAGGGGCCGGGAGCCTGGCCTGAGCCCTGGGAAAATGGTGGTAGAATCTCAAGACTCCCACCGTGCCCCGTGCCTTGGAACGGATGAAGAGACTGCTGCGGCCCAGGCTCCAGTCACATCTTTGGTTTGGAAATTATGGGATGCTGATACAGCCGGATTATACCTTCATCATGCAGCCGCTTCCAGAGTGTTCTCTCTAACGGGAAGTCATGGTTGATGTAAAAGATGGTTCGTTTCCAGGACTTATCATAGTAGTGATCAGAAAAGTGCTCGTGGCCCTCGGTGATGAAGCCGTAGGCGCTCACCTATGTGAAGGTTGGAGGAGAAATGGGGCCTGAAGTTGCTCCCTCCCAGGTTTGTTCTCATGGGCTGTGTGTTACTGGGGGACCCTTCATCGTGGTTCCCTCCCCAGGGGTCCGGGCGCAGGCTCCCTGATGGACACTGGCCTATGTGTGTACGCGCACTCGCACCCCTCTCCCGCCCCGGCCGTCGTCCCCTGCTGGGCAGGTCCCGGGATAGGGCTTCCGCTCCTCCAGCAGAGCCTTACCTGGTCACAGAGCTGAAGGGCCGTGAGCAGCAGGAGGGCCCCCGTGGTGGGACGATAGATTCTCCAGTGGCGAGAGTTCAGGGTCTTCGACCTCAGAAACCTGGGAAATAGCCCAGCCCCCAGCGGTCAGGAGGCTGCAGGGATGAGAGGGACCCGATGCCTGCCCCCCGCGCCCTGCCGTTCTGCTCTCACCTGTTCTTCATGTAACGGATTACGTCTGGGTGCAGCAACAGGTACCTGTCCAGCTGCAAGCTTTCCCGGAAAGCCTCCTGGGGCCTGCGCCTGTGGGCGGCAATGGGTCGTTCACCTCCCCCGATGCGGGCCAAGTCTGGCCAGGGCCACGACAGGGGGCCCATCTCCGGGCGATCGCCAAGGCTGTCCCCACCTGTCCAGCCCTTCACAGCCGCTCAATACGCAGCTCGGCCTGGGGTGGGGTAGGGGGCAGTGAGTACCTGAACCAGGAAAGGCTACTTTTCACCAGGGTCTGATTCAGAAGCAGCGCTTCCAGCCACTCATAGTCTCGGGTGCCCTCCAGGAAGTGCAGGTAGCGGACATCCTGAGGACCAAGGACAGTGAGCGCTCCAGGAGTCCTGCCTTCAGGCCCCGGGGCTGGGGGGTTGGGGGGGGTGGTTGGCTCCGACGCCAGGCTGCCCACTTGCTCCTCGCAGTCCTGTCTGGCCGTCCTGCCTGCTCTTGCCCCTCGGATGAACAGAGCCCGCGCCAGCCAGACTCCAGACACAGGACACCAGGCTCCCTTTCTCAGCTCGTGCTCCCCATTCAGATTCTGTGGGTGGCCAGGCCGGTTCCTCTGTGCTCACCTTCCCCAGAGGCACGTGCGGGAAACCCCGACCGCCCAAGGCAAGCAGAGACTGCGTTATGGAGAAGGCGGTGAAGCCGTAGAAGGACGTCCGGGTACCCACATCCTGTTCGTAGCCCTTAGTGATGGCTCCGCTCAGTCTAGGTGGCAAGACAGAACCACACAGGACAGGACCCATGAGTGCCCGAGGGAAAGGCGTGGCGGCGGGCGGGGAAGGAAAAGAGAGATGGGGAGGCAGCAGGTATAACAGGACGTTCTCTGGAGAGCCCGGGCATTCGGCCTCGGGGATCCAGGCATAGAACGCCCTACCAGATCTCTCAGTCTGGATGGGGTGCTTGGGGCGGGACGCTTACCGGAACACGTGATCGTGGCTGTCTATCTCCTGGCCCATGTGGGAGTTGTTCAGGATGCCCCCGTTACCCACCACGGCACAGGTGATGCACTGGGAGCTCCCAGCAGGGAGGCTAGCCAGGAGCAGCTGCTGCTGGGGCACCGGAGGGAAGCGAGTCACCACCTTCTGCACCACTGGAACAAGGGGGGCTCCGCTCAGAGCACTGGAAGCGTCAGGGAGGGCCAGCCCATCCTCTTTCCCCGCGCTGGGGGCCCCCAGGGAAGAGGCAGACCAGAGCCAGAGGCTCAGCTGCCCAGGCTCCTCCCCAGGAAGACTCACAGGAGTAGTTGAGCTCCATGAAGCCGAAGGGCGGTGCGAAGTGCTCCAGGCGCTCCCACTCTCTCTGGTTGAAGCGGCTGGAGTCCAGGAAGAGGGTGAGGTTGGCCAGAAAGAGTTTCTGGAACCAGGGTGTCTTGGAGGCCTTGACTTTCACTGAGTCGGGGCAGGTCTACATGCAGGAGGGTGGGTCAGGCAGGGAGAGGCCCAGGAAGGCCATGGCCAGGCCGGGCTCGGGGCAGGGGCAGAAAGTGGGCCTCAGCGTTTGGAAGGCACCACCTCTGCTGCCTCTTCCATCCTGTTCGGAGGGCCTGCTGATTCTCCCTCGCCATTGCCCTGGCTGCTGTAGCCCTGAGGGTCCCAGAGAACAGCCCCTTCTTGGGGCTCTAGGGGATGCACCCTGGCGGGCGTGAGGAGGATGGGGCTGTGGGAGAGCCTGGAGCGCTGGCCAGGGCCCAGCTGCAGGTCTGTGCAAACATATGAATTTTGAAGGTTTCCCTCCTGAGGCTGTGGGCCCAGGCAGCTTTTCTTCGGGATGGAAGAGAGGGAAGGTTGGGGAATTGTGTGTACGGGGAAGACAAGGCATTCCCAGGAGTCAGGGTCGGGCCTCAGGTTGGGGTGTCCTCGGCTGTTAGTCCTGCTGCTCTGTGCCCCCTCTCAACCCTTGCCCCCTCCCCCTGCCAGAGGATGGCCCCAGAGCAGGTAGCACTCTCTCACCCTGCTCAGGGACCTTCCAGGCCTTCTGGGGGCTCCAGGGCAGGGCTCCTTTCCCTTACCCCTTCCCACGCTATAGGGGAGAGCACGGGGGGTGGGGGTGGGCATGAACAAGGCAGAGCCTGGGGACAGAGCCTCGGAGGTCAGGGAGGTGGGGGGCAGGAACTGGGGGGGCTGTCTGCATGGGGCTTTGGAGCAGGGAGGTAGTGGCCAGACTCACCGATCTTAGGGCTCCCGTGTCAAAGCTATATTGTTCCTCAAAATCCCACTGGGGCTCAGACTTGAAGTTGGTGGCCCGCAGACTTGGACTTCTCTGAGTGATGAGGCTCTGGAAAGGGGTGGAGGGTGGCGTGACCCGGGCTTTCTCCCAGTGGGGGACAACCGCTGTGGTCACTCCTTTCATTGCCCTCCCCGGTGACCCTGCTCCTGGCCTGGTCAGCGCCTTGTCCTGGCTTTTCAGCCCGGGTGTCCTTGCTGTGGTCCGCACTTTGCCCTGAGGGGTTTGGGGGCTCCCTCCTGGTGGCTGGGGGCTCCTTGTTCTGGTCCTGCCTTCCTTTGATGGTCCTGGCATCCTGACTCCTCAGCGACAGTGTCTCTGCCCCGTCAGAGGCCACCCTCCCATCCCGTACCCTCGGGGGCAGCGTGTCCAGCACGGTGTCCTTCCTCTCCTGACCCCTCGGTGGGGCCGGCCCAGCTGAGGCGGCCACGCTGGCCTCTGCTCTGGTGTCGCTGTGGGTGGGGCAGGCGGTGGCCTGGGCCGGGGGGGCCTGTGTGCTACCCTCCTGGGCTGACGCCCCCCCCGGGGCCCTTGTCCTTCCTCCCGCGGTGGCGGCCTGCCATGCAGCCTTGTGGAGTGACTCTGGATACCTCTTCTTGCCAAGCATGTGCTGATCCCTAGGGACAGATGTAAATCTGGATTAAGGCCGAGGATCGTATCCACAGGGTGGATGCATAATTAGTATGTTTTCTGGTGCCTTGGGTAGACTTCACACCAGTTTCCCTAAGACATGAAGGCAAGGGGTGTCACCGTCCATACCCCAAATTAAGCTGCACCTGTTGGCGATGGGTCTGGAAACTTACCTCTGGCCCATAAAGAGACCGTGGTGGGCTCGCCCTTGGGAGCGTGTGAGCTCGGTGGGCGCAAGGGAAGGGGCTCTGTCTGGGCAGGGGATGGGCCCAAACAGGTAGGCAGAACCCGATTAGTATCTGCCTCGTAGGTCAGACTGAGGAGTTTGGACTTTATCATTCATCTTCTTGTCCAGGGGGAGCTACTGAAGAATTTCAGCTGGGAGATGGGGGTGCTGGATCAAGAGGGTGGGGCACAGTAGCTGAATTCCAGCCTGGCAGTGCTTTTTTCTAGCATCAGGAGAAGATTGACGCGGGCTGCCTTGTCTGGCTTCTGGCACTCCAGGTTTTTGGCTCTGAGGATTAGATTTCCTTTCTTTTTATTTCCCCCTTTTGGGGGAGGCTGCCAAAAGTATCCCTTAATTTATGCAAATTAGCATCAGGTGTTCTGCTGAGGAAAGCGTGGGTCCTCCGCTGTGCAGGTTTCTCTAACTGGACTTCGAGGTGGGTTCTCTGTGCTACACAGGTTTTGGGGGGGCTCCTGGGAGTCTTGGGGAAAAGAATCATCCTCTCTGGGGACCCATAGCCATCACCCTCATGGATTTCCAGGTGTCCTTAACTCCCGCTCCTTTCCCTGACATCCTAAGCCTCCCTAGCACCTTGATCACCCTTGTCCCAAGCAGTTCTCTTTTGTCTGCTTCTATCATTCTTCTTCCAAGCCATATCATCACAGACTTACTGAGGCCCCAGAGAGAGAACATGAAATGTGCAGCCAGAGAGACCCGAGTGAGAATCCTTAGCACTTCCATTTATTAGCTGGTGTGACTGGGAGAAATCTTCACCCGCCTGACCCTGGGTGTTTTTATCTATAAAACTGGCCACTGCCTTTTGCTTCTGCAAGAAGTCTGCTGTGAGCATTAACTGACAACATGTGTTTAGCCTCTGGCACAAAATACATGCTCAGATAACAAGTTCCCAGCTCCTCAGCCCTGCCGTGGTGCTCTGTTCCCAGTGACTCTTGATTTGTCCTGTGCAATGTGGGGGTCTCCTGAGTCTGGTCTCCTCCTTCTCTGGTTGCAGCTTCGACTCCCTGCCTCCCAACTCTGTGGCCACTAATTTGTTCTTTTATGCAGCAAATATTTATTGAGCACCCCCTATGAATGCTGTGCTAGTTACTGGGGCCTGGGTGATGAGCACAACCAGACACATTCCTCCCCCCCACGGAGCCCAGGATATAAAGGGACAACAGATTGTCACACAGGTAGACGTCAAGTTGTAACCCGGAGACATGCTGGGGAATGGGCGAGCACGAAGAAGCCATGGGAGGTAGCCTGACCCAAGCTCCGTTTCCTGTGACAACGTGAAGGCTAGAATCCTACGTGTGGTCAAATTGGGCGTGTTTGGGGATTGTATTCGTTCAAGGGCAACGTCAAGCTCCTCCCCAAATCGCAAACTTGGAGGAGGCAGAGATCACTCTAAGCAGTCCTTACTACGAAGCCCGCCACGATGCCACATCATCACATCGGTGCTTCCGAAAAGCTTTCTGAGCCCACCAGGAAATGGATTTAAACAAACTGAATAGAATAGACCCTGAAATATGTAACAGGCGGAACATCTCGTTCAACAGACGTTCAGTAATTGTCTAGTGCAATGTGCTGTGTAGGTCCTGGGAATACAGATTTGAATAAGGCACAGACCTTCACCCGCAGAGTACAGTGTAGTCACTGTTATTAAAGGTGGAAGACAGAGGAGACTTTCATCACTAGAAGAATACAGGGCTGGCCCGGGTGGTGGTATGTGCACTAGGCCGATTACCTCTGTCACTCCTTCCTCATTTAGGGCCTCCCTCCTGCATTGTGGCCAGCCCTCTGGTGGATACTGTATTTCCTGCTTCCTGGGCCCCAGGGAAGCACATTTATTCAGGTCTTCCAGGAAGGGCACTCTCTGTCCTGACCTTGAAACGGACAGAGGATCTACCTTCTCTGGAGGTTGTTAGGGAAAAGGCTAACAGTGGGGCCTTCCTCGTTGGAGTACACACATTTTTAACTGTCCTCACGTAGCAAATGCCTCTTTGCTCAAAGAAGTAACTTGGAGGAGAGGTATCCCAGACCAGAAAGCAGAGAAAGGCTGGACTGTGACATGAAGCAGCCTGGAAAAGCTAACAGCCTTCAAGACTTTAAGCCGTTATTCCTTTTTTTGTTTTCCATTTTTAACTAAGAAAAAAAAATGGGGGTTTGGACTTATCATAAGGCTAGAAAATGTCTTGAGGAGCCCAAGAGCAAGATGTGGTTGAGCCTCTAGAACGGTCTGGAACCTGGAGTCTCTCTCTTAGGCTGCTTTCCGCTCTCTGCTCCTCAGCCCTCATGGCGGAGGAGGATGGCCGCCCCATAACACCTGCTTCAGGGACCGAAGACTCTCTGCTCCCAGTTTTTAATTTTTATGGTTCTGGCCCACTTGTGTCCTTTCGTGTCCCTGGTAACATGGCAAGTGACACGGATCCTGGGGTCCACCCTGTACACGAGAGGAGGATAGTCTCAAAAGAGAGGGTTGTTGGCTCATGAACTGGGTAGACATCCCTAAAGTGTCCATTCTGAAAGGATACCATCCATGCAGAGTGGAAATCCTGAGTTAGTCCTGAACATAGCCTTTTTTTTCTTTTTTTAATTTATTTATTTGAGAGAGAGAGAGCGAGCTCTCAGAGAGGGGCAGAGGGAGAGGGAGAAGCAGGCTCACCGCGGAGCAGAGCGCCCGATGCGGGGCTCGATCCCAGGACCCCGGGATCATGACCTGAGCCGAAGGCAGACAATTAACCGACTGAGCCACCCAGGCACCCCCATCCAGAACATATTCTTGAGGGATTTGGGCCACCTTTGTTTTGGTGCTGTGAAGTTTGAGTACGGTGAGACTCACTCTTCTCCCCTTCAGTGGCACAACTGAGCTGAAGCTCCCAGCCCGGAGGTACAGCAAAAGCCTAGGTGTTTACTCCATTAGCAAATAGCTCTCGTTACTCAGCCGGGAACCTCGAATTCACCTCCCCCTGCATTTCCCACCCCCAAACCACAAGAAGCCTCTAGAAGTTTTCCTTCCAAAGTGCAAGCACCTTTGCATGGCTGTGATCAGGGAGATGGTGCGGCAGGGTGGTCTTCTCCACTAGACTTCTCAGACAGCTGGCCCTCGGGGACGGGGCACCCCGAGCTCCTCTCTGCAGTCCTTCCCAGAGGCAGGAGGCACAAGGTCCCTGACGGGTTACTGAGGACTCCTTTATGTTTTACAGGGAGTCGTGGCAATGACCCAGCTACTGACAAAATTATGTAATTAAGTTTCATTTCAATTCCCTATAATTAAACACAACTATGATTGCTAGGAATGTGGGTGTTTACGTAGGCATTTCCTTATGCTCATGCATGGTATTTACTGAATGCTCAAATTCCTTCCGTCCATATGGTGAGTGCCCTGCATTCGTCTTGTCCAGACCCTGGGTAATCCTGGATTTAAACACCACGAGCAAGGCCAGGGTAGGGTGAGGGGGGAACCTGTTTTCTATTAAGGGTTCAGAGGGACAGGCAAGTCATGCAGGGGTCACATGCAAGCAAAAAACAACTCAGTATCAAATCTGATCTATTTGGGAGATAAAAATAAAAAATGCTGCACTTCAAAAAATAAATTTATCATTAACAGGGTTCACATGGCTCCATGCAATAAATGAAGTGGGTACAAAAGAATAATTATCTGGCATCCTCTTCCCTCTAAATTCTGAACTACACAACACCACAGGGGACGTGGAAGCAAAGAAATGGCAAAAGGCTCAAAGTTTATTTATACTTCAAGCCATGAAAAGACTGTTGGCAAAAGAGCACTATTCTCCCTTGAATAGAGCACAGCTAATCCTCGAACAGTGTGCGGGTTAGGGGCACCGACCCACACACCGTCGAAAATCTGCATGTAACTCTTGACTGCCCCAGAACTGAACTACTGTTCAGCCTGCTGTCGACCAGAATCCTTACCAATAGCATAAACAAGTCAACACATATTTTGTATATGTATTATGTACATATTCTTACAATACAGTCAGCTAGAGAAAAGAAAAGGTCATTCAGAAAATCATAAGGAAGAGAAGATACATGTACAGTACTGCACTGTAAAAAAATCCATATATAAACGGACCCATGTGGCTCAAACCGTATTGTTCAGGGGTCAACAGTATCTACTAGAAATAGGATAGGGGGTGTTGAAAGTGTCTCCCACGCGGGAGAGGTCGTCCAAACTGAAATTTAGCAATGACACCCTGAATCAAAGGCCACTAATAAAACCAGTAGGACTAGAAGATTATTTCATCAAGGAGAAGACAAGAACTCAAAAAACCTCCTTGATGATCTTGCAATTCCATTTCGAGATATTTATCCAAAGAAAATAAAAACACTAGGGGCGCCTGGGTGGCTCAGTTGGTTAAGCGACTGCCCTCGGCTCAGGTCATGATCCTGGAGTCCCTGGATCGAGTCCCGCATCGGGCTCCCTGCTCAGCGGGGAGTCTGCTTCTCCCTCTGACCCTCCTCCCTCTCATGCTCTCTGTCTCTCATTCACTCTCTCAAATAAATAAATAAAATCTTTAAAAAAAAAAAGAAAAGAAAAGAAAAGAAAAACACTAACCTGAAAAGACATACGCGCCCGTGTTCACTACAGCATTATTTACAATAGCCAAGATATGGAAGCAGCCCAAGTGTCCATCGACAGATGAATGGATATATATATAATGGAATATTGCTCAGCCAGAAAAAAGAATGAGGTCTTGCAGCAACATAGATGGACATAGAGGGTATTATACTAATGAA